AAAGCCGCAAGCGGCGATGAAAGGCCTCGCCCCTCTTGCGACCGCCTCCTGGGCGCCGGTCCCACAAGCGTCACGCCGACGAATTGGCAGCCCGATCTGACCAGGATTACGTATATAAAAGCTCATTTATATGATAAAGTGCGTCCCTAGTGGTCACCTCCGGGACATGCACCCTCTACGTAGAGTAGTATTTTGCTCGTGCAGATGTAAAGATTTGATTTTGCAACTTTGGTGAAGATCGGAAAAGTTTAGGTCAGAAGCCTTCCATAGGTGGCGCTGTAGAGTCATATTAGGTGTGTGTTTTCACACCATTACTCTCAGGCCATTACCAACTGTTAGCGATGTGAGTTTCAGCTCTGTAGGTCTGAGCCTGTGGTCAGGAGAGCATCAAACATGGAGAAATTCCCCGCTACCTCGCATGAAAACGATAACAAAATTCTAACTTTTATGCGATGATTGCATAACTTCAATCCGTCCAGATGGAGAAATGACATGGTAGAAGTCTGTGCGATGAAAATCCAGGGACTAGTACAAAGCCAAAAATGAGACACATTGAACTGCCTGTAGGTGGCGCTGTTGCACTCACAGTTGTGTGTTGCATATCGTAGTGTTCAGGGTCATACGCTGTATTTCTGAATTCATTTTTAGCCTCATCGGACAAAGATTTTGCCCCAAAAAGCTCATTTATTCACTTTACGGCGCCCCCAGTGGTCAGGTGTGGGACGTACAACTTTTGCGTAATGTAATGTTTTGCTCGTCTCGGTCCAGAGAATACACTCAGCGATTTTCGGGCCGATCCGAGCACTAGTGCCCTATTACTTTCCGACAGGTGGCGCTAAAGAGCTCAAATTGGGCGAATGATTTTAGTGTCATTGCGTTCAGGCCATAACCTAATATTACTGATGTGAGTCTCAGCTCTGTAGGTCTGAGTCTGTGGCCCTCAGGGCTCAGCGAAAATGGCCAAAACAAAGGCCTTATTCGCCATGGCGAGGGACAAAAACGGTGAAGATTTTCTAACTTTTTTTTGATGATTATATAACTTCAATCCGTCCAGATTGGGAAATGACGTGGTAGAACTCTGTGTGATGAAAAACCAGGGACTAGTTAGAATTTCTAAATGAAAAGTCAAATTAGTGGCGAAACTTCGGCCCATCATGGCCGACTTCCTGTTGGTCCCAGACATGTGCTTAGAACGGCTTTTATGCTCGTCTCATAGAGATCTATCACTCATCCGAATTTTGTGTACCTACTCCAAAATTTGAAAAAAAATCCCCAGAGGGTCAAAAAAAATGAAATTTCTAGGGGGCGTTATAGAGTTGGCGAGCGTCGGACAATCTGGAAACGTTCATTTTATCAAATTTTTCGCCGAACCGGTCGTTTTAGACCCCCCATGTGCAGACTTTCGTGCATGTCTTCAGGGTCAAAAATTGAATTGAAGTTGCGGAAAATAAATAAGAATAATAATTAAAGCCGCAAGCGGCGATGAAAGGCCTCGCCACTCTTGCGACCGCCTCCCGGGCGCCAGTCCCACAAGCGTCACGCCGACGAATTGGCAGCCCGATCTGACCAGGATTACGTACAAAAAAGCTCATTTATATGATAAAGTGCGTCCCTAGTGGTCCCCTCCGGGACATGCACCCTCTACGTAGAGTAGTATTTTGCTCGTACATATGTAAAGATTTGATTTTGCAACTTTGGTGAAGATCGGAAAAGTTTAGGTCAGAAGCCTTCCATAGGTGGCGCTGTAGATTCATATTAGGTGTGTGTTTTCACACCATTACTCTCAGGCCATTACCAACTATTAGCGATGTGAGTTTCAGCTCTGTAGGTTTGAGCCTGTGGTCAGGAGAGCATCAAACATGGAGAAATTCCCCACTACCTCGCATGAAAACGAGAACAAAATTCCAACTTTTATGCGATGATTGCATAACTTCAATCCGTCCAGATGGACAAATGACATGGTAGAAGTCTGTGCGATGAAAATCCAGGGACTAGTACAAAGCCAAAAATGCGACACCTTGAACTGCCTGTAGGTGGCGCTGTTGCACTCACAGTTGTGTGTTGTATATCGTTGTGTTCAGGGTCATACGCTGTATTACTAAATTCATTTTTAGCCTCATCGGACAAACATTTTGCCCCAAAAAGCTCCTTCATTCATTTTTCCGGCGCCCCCAGTGGTCAGGTGTAGGACTTACAACTTTTGCGTAATGTAATGTTTTTCTCATCTCGGTCCAGAAAATACCCTCAGCGATTTTCGGGCCGATCCGAGCACTAGTGCCCTATTACTTTCCGACAGGTGGCGCTAAAGAGCTCAAATTGGGCGAATGATTTTAGTGTCATTGCGTTCAGGCCATAACCTAATATTACTGATGTGAGTCTCAGCTCTGTAGGTCTGAGCCTGTGGCCCTCAGGGCTCAGCGAAAATGGCCAAAACGAAGGCCTTATTCGCCATGGCGAGGGACGAAAACGGTGAAGATGTTCTAACTTTTTTTCGATGATTATATAACTTCAATCCGTCCAGATTGGGAAATGACGTGGTAGAACTCTGTGTGATGAAAAACCAGGGACTAGTTCGAATTTGTAAATGAAAAGTCAAATTAGTGGCGAAATTTCGGCCCATCATGGCCGACTTTCTGTTGGTCCCAGACATGTGCTTAGACCGGCTTTTATGCTCGTCTCATAGAGATCTATCACTCATCCGAATTTCGTGCACCTACTCCAAAATATGCAATCCTGCCTCCAATAGAAATGGCAAATTTTGAATTTTCAAGGGGGCGCTATTGATTCGCCTTTTGTCGGACAATCTGGAAACGTCCGTTTTATCAAATTTTTTGCCGGACCGGTCGTTTTAGACCCCCCATGCGCAGACTTTCGTGCATGTCTTCAGGGTCAAAAATCGAATTGTTTCGGCGGAAAAAGAATAATATGAAACCACCGAATAACAATTTTCATTAAAGCCGCAAGCGGCGATGAAAGGCCTCGCCCCTCTTGCGACCGCCTCCCGGGCGCCAGTCCCACAAGCGTCACGCCGACGAATTGGCAGCCCGATCTGACCAGGATTACGTATATAAAAGCTCATTTATATGATAAAGTGCGTCCCTAGTGGTCACCTCCGGGACATGCACCCTCTACGTAGAGTAGTGTTTTGCTCGTACAGATGTAAAGATTTGATTTTGCAACTTTGATGAAGATCGGAAAAGTTTAGGTCAGAAGCCTTCCATAGGTGGCGCTGTAGAGTCATATTAGGTGTGTGTTTTCACACCATTACTCTCAGGTCATTACCAACTGTTAGTGATGTGAGTTTCAGCTCTGTAGGTCTTAGCCTGTGGTCAGGAGAGCATCAAACATGGAGAAATTCCCCACTACCTCGCATGAAAACGATAACAAAATTCTAACTTTTATGCGATGATTGCATAACTTCAATCCGTCCAGATGGAGAAATGACATGGTAGAAGTCTGTGCGATGAAAATCCAGGGACTAGTACGAAGCCAAAAATGCGACACCTTGAACTGCCTGTAGGTGGCGCTGTTGCACTCACAGTTGTGTGTTGTATATCGTTGTGTTCAGGGTCATACGCTGTATTACTGAATTCATTTTTAGCCTCATCGGACAAACATTTTGCCCCAAAAAGCTCATCTATTCACTTTACGGCGCCCCCAGTGGTCAGTGTGGGGCGTACAACTTTTGCGTAATGTAATGTTTTGCTCGTCTCGGTCCAGAGAATACACTCAGCGATTTTCGGGCCGATCCGAGCACTAGTGCCCTATTACTTTCCGACAGGTGGCGCTAAAGAGCTCGAATTGGGCGAATGATTTTAGTGTCATTGCGTTCAGGCCATAACCTAATATTACTGATGTGAGTCTCAGCTCTGTAGGTCTGAGCCTGTGGCCCTCAGGGCTCAGCGAAAATGGCCAAAACGAAGGCCTTATTCGCCATGGCGAGGGACGAAAACGGTGAAGATTTTCTAACTTTTTTTCGATGATTATATAACTTCAATCCGTCCAGATTGGGAAATTACGTGGTAGAACTGTGTGTGATGAAAAACCAGGGACTAGTTCGAATTTCTAAATGAAAAGTCAAATTAGTGGCGAAACTTTGGCCCATCATGGCCGACTTCCTGTTGGTCCCAGACATGTGCTTAGAACGGCTTTTATGCTCGTCTCATAGAGATCTATCACTCATCCGAATTTCGTATACCTACTCAAAAATTTGAAAAAAAATCCCCAGAGGGTCAAAAAAAATGAAATTTCTAGGGGGCGTTATAGAGTCGGCGAGCGTCGGACAATCTGGAAACGTTCATTTTATCAAATTTTTCGCCGAACCGGTCGTTTTAGACCCCCCATGTGCAGACTTTCGTGCATGTCTTCAGGGTCAAAAATCGAATTGAAGTTGCGGAAAAAGAAAAAGAATAATAATATGAAACCGGTGAATAACAATAGGCCTCCCCAATACTTCGTATTGGCTCGGCCTAATTAAAGCCGCAAGCGGCGATGAAAGGCCTCGCCCCTCTTGCGACCGCCTCCTGGGCGCCAGTCCCACAAGCGTCACGCAGACGAATTGGCAGCCCGATCTGACCAGGATTACATATATAAAAGCTCATTTATATGATAAAGTGCGTCCCTAGTGGTCACCTCCGGGACATGCACCCTCTACGTAGAGTAGTATTTTGCTCGTACAGATGTAAAGATTTGATTTTGCAACTT